TCGTGCTGTGGGAGAACCGGGTGCCCGGCAGGACAATGTGGCTTTGGAGCCACGTACTGACCGCGTCAGCAGCTGTAGACATTGAGAACTGGCTGATCGAGGCTGGGAAAGAAATTCCTCGCTCCCACTTCGTGAGCTCTTGCTCTCAGCCCGATTTCCCGAGGCGAGGACTCTTCCGTGGCCTTTCCGTTGGTTTTGTCCCTCCACAAAAACTTGTGAACGCTGAGTTTTAGCACACGGCGGCGGTCTCGCTTTCCGCCCCTCGGTATTTCCGTTTGCTGTGTGACCTCATTGATCACAGACACCCAAAACTACCTTGAGTTTGATTTCTCGGCTGCTAGAAGGACGTTGATCCTTCTGATGTGAAGGAGGCAGCAGCCCAGTGGTGACAGCCTGCGCTGTCTCTTGCCTTGGTTCGGGATGAGAGCGAGAATGGGGGGAAGCAGAGGTGATAGCACATAAATGTGAGGGGGGGGAAAAGCCAAACCCTGGCGTTGTTAGCTCTGCTGATCACAGAACTGGTTGTTTTTCTACATACAGGCTATGCTCACATCAGATCTATAATCCTCCAGAAATTACGATCTGTGACTTTCAGTGTTCTCTTTATCTTGAAAACCCCCCGAACATTTGATAGTTTGAGTTACAAATCACACTCTGGAACCCCTGTGGTTATCTTTGGGATAATAGGTAGCTACAGAGAGGAGAAACTAAAGAGGCAGGGAGAGAAATTTATGCTTTAGTGCAAATGTGGTAAAGCTGAGACGTGTTTAGGGTGCTCAGCTTCACATTCCTTCAGAAAAGGTTTCTCTTACCTTCAGGCATCAGTTAATGCGGCTGCAAGGCCCTGCTAGGGCAGGTCCAGGACTCTGTATTAGCAGGGCTTAGGGTAAGTGCCTCGTCCAGAATTACTCGCTTTTTTGGTGTTGGTTTGCCTTTCTGCAGGCGTGAGTCAGGTACCTGAGGTTCCTCTGTTAGTTTCTAACTTGTCTCGGTTTTTTTTCCCCTCCCCTCCTTGTTAGTCGCCTGTCTTGGCTGGAAAACTCCGGAGTTGGCTTCTCCTTGGATTATCCCACCATAAGTTTACACGCCGTCTCCAGGGACCTGAACGCCTACCCATGGGAGCACTTGTACGTCATGGTGAACGCCAAATTCGAAGGTACGCCCAGAGTGTCGGTTACCGTTCCCACGCAGTCCTGGGCAGCATGATTTCTTCTTCAAAAAGAGTAAATTTTGTTTCTAAATGTGATATGCTTCATTCAAGTAATAGCTTATATTTTCATTTTCATTTCCCTGAAGGATAGTTATTTTAGAAGTGTAACTTGGCCCGTGTTTAGAGTCACTTCTGTACCTGCTCTCAGCATGTGAATGTGTACAGCTGGAGCCGCTGAAAATCGGTTCTCTGCTCTCTTACACTCATTTTAAACAATCTAGTTCCTCTGCAGTCTCCCTGTGATTCCAGCTGAGGTATAATTTTTGCTTTATTGAATTTATGTTAATGTTGCTACCCTCTCCAGGCTTTAT